AGTTCATTGAAATTGTGTAGTGGTATGACTGTCTGCCGGAAATCATGTCGTGTTGTCTAACAAACCGGTGTCACACTCGTGAACCCAGGTTTCACGAAAGTGTTAATCCAGGATCGAAACAACCCATAAAAAGGGCTGAGCCAAATTTGGGTTGGTAAAATGACAAACTGAAAAACTGGTTAGGCCCTCAAGACCCGTTCTGTTATGGCAACTACGAACAAATGTACTTTAGCTGTAGTGGGCACGACACAGTGCGTCATCCTTCGTGCATATCGAGTGGTGTCCCACCTGGTTGTCACAGCAAATAGCATGGCTTCACCGAACCACCGACTCGACGTCCGTCACAGAGCTCGACAAGTTGCACAACTGAGGTCTACCTCATTTCAACACAGAAAGAGCGTGGGAAGACAGGTGGTCAATCCGGGGGTAGAAAAAATGTATGATCAATTGACCAATGAGGTGCGCTGAAGGGAAGCGGATCCAACCACAGCGGTTCTTTCTCAAGTCTAAGTGATGGTTTCTCAATTCCAAATGGCGGTTTCGCAAATGAAAGTTATAGTTTCTCAAAGCTATCTTAAAATGGTATAGTCCGGGTGCATAGAAAAATGCAAAACCGGCACAATACATCAGCACAAAAAAAGGATTTAAGCCGTTGGTTTGTGCGACCACCGCCTACACAGATATTAAAGCAACAACCATGGTTGTGATATCATGATCAGTCCGTACCCTCCTCCTTAGCTTTCTTTTTTTGTTCTTTTCACGGAATTTCTTAGTCGAACCACACAAAGAACTCCGTTCATTCCGATGGATTAGACACGGTCCAGAACGTAGACCACATTTCAGAACAGTCCGAACAACACATATAGTGGTGTTTGCGGAAACTACAGAGGTCCAATTGTCTGCTCCTAAATCACAGCGACGATCCCAAGTGGACCAGTCTTGGGTTTACAACACGAGCCCAGTAACGGGAAACAGAGAAACAAAATAAAAAACGTGAATGCAAGTAACTAGCTCTGAACTATACTGCCGAAATAAGCAGCACTCTGATAGAAGTAGCACAATATATGTCAGATAAGCGAACGGCGGATCAGAGAGAGAGGGAGATAGAGAGCAGGCAGGATCGTGCAATTCGACTGGGCGAATTCGGGTTCGCATAACTGCGCACCGCAAAACAGCGGACAGGGCGTAAGAGAAACCAATGGGAAACTGGCTGGTCAAACGGTGTTACAGAAGGAGTTTGTCGCGGAACTGAATGCCTTACATAGTAGGGTAGAGTGGGGAAAATGGCTCACTAGTCGAGGTAGGAACGGCTCACTGGCGCTCAAGGAACGAGTGTCTTTTATTGGGGGAGAGGGAACTTCAGCGTATATGACCGCGGAGCGTCTTAACAAAGTGGAAGAAGTCGGATACAGTTTAGAATCCCCGTATGTGACGCTGGTCATTTGAGTCAAACGGGTTGGGAACCACGTGGCGGATAGGATATGTGAGATGGAACCGGACGGGACAAGCGATAGGGAAGTAGGAAGAGAGATATCGAGATCTGAAAGAGATTGGACAGAGTCCGATATGTTCGGATAAGATGTAGTATGGTTAGGGAATAATTTCGTTGCTTCGGTGTATTTCTGAGCGAGCGGACTAAGTGAGGACAGTGGGTGCTCATCTACAGATTGCGAGACCGACGTTTGTGTTTCGGAATCCTCAGCGTCTAAGAATGATCCCGACGACAGTACATCAAGGTCCTCTGATGTGATCTTCTCAAGGCCAAAACAAGGTAATGGGTACGGGAGACGACGTGATGTGGGTAGCGAAGGACTTAAACGATTGAACATTGCAAGTTGCCTCAGATTTCTAAGCGTCTCCATCGGCTTTTGTGGGGGCATGAACTGAAGATAGACAATAAAAGAGTGACACGTTAGTACATGTGGAAAGTTAAAGCGGATGATGATCGCGCGTTAAAATCGTGTAGATAAACCACATCTTTACTACCGAGGACACGAACAAAATGATTCAAACCACAGTGGCAAAAAAGAACAGAATATTTCAACTGGTAAGAAAATAAATGCGCAAATCGGTGAATCAGGCGTATCAAACGTCCTACAGAGTCCTACATATGAAATCTACCAGACACGACTGTACATGCGGATGAAAATGTTCAAAGTATGAATCAAACCAGTCGTGCGGTAAGAAGCGCGTAAAATATGACCGTCACAAATCGGTTTCCATGCGATCTATCAGGGTTAGAAATTCGTCATGCTGTTCACGCACTACTGAGAACAGGCTATTTGCCCTCGTTGAAGCGATTCATCCCAGTTACATAAGATGGAATATTACTTGTAATTGATCCGTGATTAGGATTGTACGGAATCATATAAAATGAAAACGGAATATCTGAACTTCACCAAAATTTTCGTATTTGTTTACCTAAAGGCTTTTCTTTCCAGATGACAACCAAATCAGAAACGGATAAATGAAAGTAAAATACAAAAATTTACTAGACTAGTTCCCAATTATTCGATTGCGTGTTTAATCAAACCGCTTTTTAATATTTTGAATAAATGACTCAAAGGAAACGAGATGACTTGAGCAAAGCAATCGAGTTTGTGCAATACACACTCAAAACACTCAACTATTCACTTGTATAGCGTACTCGGCAGAAATCCATGGACGAGCTTTTGATTACCCCAAAACCAATATCCGATTTTCGTTGTTCAGAATTTCAAATTTATCAAACAATCCACTGAACCTTTGCGCAATATCGAGTCAGATTACGTCAGCGATAGGAAATGCGCTGTAAAGGTTTTATTCATACATAAACCAGACTGTTCGGTGTGCAGAATGCATAAAGAAAATGCCCACTTTTTCTCTCGCATTATTGATATTTTGTGCCTGGCCTGATTCGGTCAAACTGGATCTGACTGAAGCATTCATCAATATAAGCCCTTGATTTTCACAGACCACATGACATGTATTATAGCTTTCTCGAGGAGTGAGGGAGTTTACAAAGTGACTTACGATCGGAAACAATGACAAGCGAATTGTGACAATCATCGTCATTGGGCAGATAGACAGACAGACAGACAGACAGACAGTGAAACAAACCAATCAAAGTTGAAAAAATGGAACTATGATGCAAGGTTGATGATTACCCAAGGAATAACCTGAGAATATTGATCGCTCTATTACTTTACCGCAAGTGTAAAATGCAGATGACGAAATGTATTTTATGTTTTATTTCACACTAGCTTTCTTATCGGTGAGCTGTGACTATCCACACAAGAACTTACGTTAAATCAATTTATCATTTTATTCTGCCACAGTCACAAACACACATGTCAGGTATTGGTGTAAGAAAACAGATCTTTAATCGGCATACGATTTTTTTAGTATCCGCTGTGTTATTGACCAGTGTTCAGTTGTGGAAATGATAGAAACGAAGGACATCGAAAAAACTGAATAGAAGCGACCTGTTCGCTGGCAATTTGTTTGCAAACGTTTCATCACCAGCCTTATATATATACGCCAATGCGGGTCCACGTCGAAGTATAACTAACTGCTGTGAACATTTTTAGGCTGAGTATACGGCTATTGCAAAAAAAGTTAGACACTATTAGTCGTACTCGAATACTCTTGCCTCGCTTTGATACAACCTCGACCGGCTCTAGTGAGGTTTTTACAGGAAAATGCACATGCGTCCGGGATAGTGGATCGACAAGTGCTGGAATGCTACATCAACAAAAACGGTACTTTAAAACGCAACCAGGACATTTAACTGCAACAAATAAACAACTTCAACAAGATAGGACTGGGACAAGAGGTAACAAACTTCAAAAAGACAATGAGGATGAGGGAACTCACTCTGGTAATACGGATTTTATTGATTTCGCCGGAATCAGATACGTAGAATGTGGCACGAAATTCATGCCACCTAGAAAGCGAGTGAACCAGGAAATAAAATGAATATCGAAGCGTACGCCAGCTCACGAATGTTAACTCAACGCTAGAAATGTCAACCTTACAAGATTTGATATCACCACCATAATATACTTATATATCCAAGATGTAATCAATTTATATAGAACTGACAAATGCACCACAACATGAAGAAAAATCTGCAGAGTGTATTTATAAGTTGCGTGAGCATGTTACTTCCCAGTTACCCTGACCGAGAAAGGGGGTCCCCACCCGAAACCTTTGGCTAGAAAGCCAGGTCTGCAAGACAGCAGGACGGAACTGTAAGTCCACAGTCCATTCGGGTTTATTGTCCAGTTCAGTGGATCATACGCCCTTTGGAAGGGGTGAAATATTTCAGATGCCCAATACACCTCGATACTTGACTTGACTTGGTACCTAGTTGAGTCGGTAATTATTGCCACAATCAGGAAGATGTGTGCTTGTGTAGTTGGTTTGGAAGCAGCGTTTTTAGCTATCTCCTCTCGATAAACTGATGGTGGTTCACCGGATGCTGGCTTTTCGTTCTCTCATTTTGGTAAGCACCTCCGCCACAAGAAGGCAATGAGAAGGGCTTCCCCAGCATAGACCATTTCAGATTTTTGGTCATATAGGAGCATTTCGCGAGGTATAAGGGAATAGTGGCCAGTCAGAACCCGAGACACCCACCCCGATCATACTGAGGCTCTCGGAGGCTACTTCAACATATAGCATGGAAGATACAAGCTTCACTACAGAATGCTGATTGGAACCTAATTCAGCCGACCGGTTCTTAAAGATATCAGTTGCTGTCAGTTTTTACTAATCGGCCTTTCAGTATCGGCCAAAGCCCACAGTACTTTCGAAATCCGTAGCATCGAAGCACTGCTGAACTAAGTTTCACATCAGTTAATAATATGGTCGAAATGCTTAGCATCATATCTCCAACAAGCTTTGACATGACAGTTGAAGAAACCAGCATATTAGTGGGTGCTCTTTTGGAACCCACTTTATGGTCCAGATTGCTGGCCCCAGATGGATCGCACTTGGGCCTCTTTGACCGCGTTCGATCGGGAGAGTGGTTTTTGAAAACGGGGAGTTTTTAGGATTATCCCGCTGCTGAGAAGCACTGCTTAGGGGGAGGGTATCTGCATGGCATCAGCTCAGAGATTAGATATTCAAAACTCACAACCGTGACCAAACTTCTCTATTGCACTTTATCTTTTGGCAGTCCTAATTTGTACATACGTATGAGAGGGAACTTGCTGAAAGAACTGCAAAAGCCAGATTTTTGGACTGATTTATACAGCTTGTCGTGGCGAACGAGAGTTAATATAACTGAGCCGTAAACAACAATAATCTTAAAGTTTATCTATTTGAGCACAACATTATCTCTCCGCTTATCAAAGTGTTGAATTGTGTTTTCCTGCCTACCCGGTTTCACATGGATCTTACCGTCAGGCGACAGCGGAGAATACAGCACACTCGAATGTTGGACTAGTGGTTGCAAAAACTAACCTGCTTAATAAATTACTTTAGTTACAATAACAGAACGGACCAAGAAAAAATTAATGGTCAATTTCCCACTGAATAGCATTTAACTCTGTTTTGATATCCACGAGCTCCCATTTCGCTGTATGATATACTCAATCCATGGTCAAAGATTGACGTGTTATTTCATCTAACGAACTACTCTGCACGGAATCCCCACTTTGCAACAGAATGTGATTTGAAATTTACCTGGTTGAGCATTTAAAAATACATCATATGGAGTTATTCTTTTATCCGAGAATGGGTGGGTATCACAGACTGAGAAGGGATGCGGGAGTAAGTATTGAATGGGCATCTGGAGAAAAACTGTGCGATTTAGAGTACACCGATGATCTCGTCTGTCTGTTCGAATGTACGGAGGACGCGCAAGGCGCACTTGATAGACTAAAAAAAAACTGTTGCCACATTTGGTACGTGCTTTGCACCTTCACAGTGCAAAGTGATGCTGCAGGATTGGATGTCGTCTAATCCCGCTCTGAAACTAAATGGTCGGGAATTAGTTATGGTGGATTGCTTTTCCTACTTAGGTAGTTGCGTGATCAATGACGATAGCGTAGAAAAAGAAATAACCGCCCGCATTTCCAAGGCTCGGGCAGCATACGCAGGACTGAAACACCTCTGTTACAGACACGACGCTTCACTGAAGTTGAAAGATCGAGTATACTGTGCTACTGTTCTTTCACTTCTGCTTTATGGATGTGAGACCCTGAACCTACCGAGTAGAAGATATCTATCTACTAGAAGTTTTCGATCATCGGTGTTTACGTAGTTTAGCTCACGTGGGATGGAGCGAATGAGTTAGTAATCAGAAGGTAAGCCGTCGTGTGTTTGGGAGTCTGTCAGGCATAAACCTGCTAGCACACAGAATTCAAATGAGTATAATTCGCTGGCTAGGGCACGTATTGTGTGTGCCCAGTCGTCGTCCGCCGCACCGCGTTTTATTCGCTGTAGCCGCTACGAGCTGGAGGAAACCATGTGGAGGTAAACAGATGATGTGGAAACGACACCCATTAAGGAGAGTAGGTGTCTCGCGCCTTTCAGGTTGGGGTCCGAAAGACTCCGCAACTGGTTGGTTGGAGACATTGAAGGATATGGCAGCGAACCGACAGCAGTGGCGTTCTTGTTGTCGTTTCCTATCAGATCAGAATGTTTGAAACGGTATGTATGCAGTTCGATTGTGTGCTCTGCGTGTTGGCCATAGAGGTTAACTCTCTTCCCCTCCCTCAAAATAGATCCAATCCCCGTCCACCTTACTTATTACCACTAACCATGTATGCATTGTGAGTTCGACAGTGAGCAGTGAAGTTCGCTTCATTGTATTTTACTGTAAGATGATGATGATGCGGTGGTTCGGAATCTAGCAATTCATCAAGATCATCAAAATCGATGATTATCACGATGCGACATAAGACAATGAGCACTTCAAAAAGATATGAAATTGAAATACAGACAGCCTGTCACATTATACATTCGACTTACTTAGCCCTCTGTTCCAATTTTCGTGCTAAAAGTTCTCTTGGTAACCGCGAATCGCGCAATGACGGCGATGGGAGGAGCACTATTCGAAAACTGACATCCAACTGTCCCTTATCGACATCCGATAATATACTGAGCAATTCCACGCGACGATAGGATGAACGGGAGTAGTAGTACAGGCGAACTGCAGTGATAGATAGTGACAGATATGTCTGCGATCTGGACAGAACGAATAAAATAGAAACAGATGTGTGAATTATGGTGGAAGTGCAGAAATCGACTGGCACAGGAGCTTGAACAAGAGAGTATCAGGATCTGATGTAACGGTAAAATGTCCAAATAGCACAATGTCTAACTGTGTAACAGTTTGAGGAATGCACCAAGCCGAACGTCCTCGAAGATACCACTGTCGAAAAATTGACACCGATCATTTAATTAAGCAAGCATATTTCAAGCAAAAGTGAATAATAATCCACAAATCTAATCCGCAACTTGGACACATTTTGCTGCTGACCAACGAAACCCCATCTACAGAGTATGACTGACTAACTGATGGCGCAAACCGGATATTATTACTACTATTTAACCAAAGGGTACACACAACAAACGAAATATGAGAATTATGGCAAACTGCTCGGGTAAAATGTTGATACAGTGACCTGAAGTTATTGTGGAGGAGCGGAAAAAAGAGCTGTTCAACAAAATCTGTACGGCAACAAAATTCACCAGTCGAGTATGATCCAATCCAGAAGTTGAAAGTGAAGCCCGTGCCAATCCGTTCGGTCTTCAATCGATTCGCTTCACCGTTGATGTCTACTCCAACCACTCATTTTTCCACCTCTCACTCTGTACGACGCGCAACTATGCTTCGCATGTGATCAGTCAGTTTATCTCTGGGATGAAGTAAACCCCATTAATCTTTTCTCTTCACCGTAAAACAATCCGGGTAAATGCCAATATATTTCTTCATTTATTGGTCTAGATTTCGTTTTTCATTGGTTTTATCATACCAGAATTTAGTTGTTCTGACTCTACCCGTTATCGACACGAAATAACGAATTACGAATGCGGAACTCAATTTACCTGTATTTTCGCCCGTTTTTCGAGCATGCAAACACTTTTGCGAACGTTTTACCATTTTTTGAGGTGAGGTGCTTTCGGCGTTTAACTTGTTCCACTTTGGTAACAGCTTCCAAAC